TCTCAGCAAAAAAGGTTTTTGAACAATTTGGAAATGGGTTGAAATAAAATGTGATAATCTAACGGAAGGAGGAAGAAAGAGGGAAACGGAAAGTGTTGGAAGTGCTTAAAAATAAACTAGTGTGTGCCTAAGGGTCACGCCTGCTATTTCACACATAAACATACCAGGACTGGAAAAGGCTAGCAAGGATGCAAAAAACCAAACAAAGTGCCCGAAGCAACAGAAAGAGATATAACAAAAAGAGATGGAAAAGGACCAAACGACTTGTCAAGGAACGAGTGAGGAAACAGAGGCAGAAAAGCCCACGCGTGAGAGGGAGCAGAAGGGCTCCAGTTCTGCCCTGCACCCCACCTGCCTCATGGCTTTGGTGCTGCGTGCTGCAGAAGCCGGGAGCTCAGCTCCTCGCATCCAGGCTCTGGCCCCACCGACCCATGCAGATTGCTTGTTCAGAAAGCGGCATCTTGGCAATAGTTCCTTTCCCGTTCATTAAAAGGTAAAGCTAAATTACAAGGACAAACAGTTAGAAGGGGGAAGTGTCTGACAATTCTCCACCTCTGCCTCTTGCTCCCTCCTCCCATGAAACAAATAAGAACTGAAGCAATTTAAATTGGGTGGCTTGCCAAGTATATCTTGCAAATGCATTCACTGCCATTATATGACAGATGTCCGCATTTCCATAATATTTCAGCTGAGCTTATCAGCCCTGAAATACTCCCCCTATGAAAATTCAGGGATATCTTCAGTTAATTGACATGTGGATGCCAGACCCTGATCTCGCTTCCCCCAGCGTACGGCAGGGATAGCTGTTACACGCAACATCAGATCCGGGACTTCAACTCCTGTTTTCAGCTATCTGAAGTTACTCACTGATGTAACAGATCTGTCACAGCCCAGGAAGCTGTAACTGGGAGCAGAATCCATTGTTTGGTCCTCACGTATTTTATTAATTATTGCTGCATATCTTCATTACAGTATGTGCAGGCACACTGTTCTGGTGTATTGGGTTTGCGTGGCAAGGTTTTGGTAGCAGGGCGGGGGGGTGCTTCTGTGAGAAGCTGCTGGAAGCTTCCCCCGTGTCCGACAGAGCCAACACCAGCCGGCTCCAAGACGGACACACCGCTGGCCAAGGCCCAGCCCATCAGCGCCCATCAGCGATGGTGGTAGCCGTGGAGGGCTGTCTGCCGTGGGAGGGACCCCAGGCTGGAGCAGGGGCAGAGGGTGAGGAGTCCTCCCCTGAGGACAAAAGAGCGTCAGAGATGAGAAGTGATGAACTGACCCCAAGCCCCATTCCCTGTCCCCCTCCGCCACTGATGGGGAGGAAGGAGAGAAAAATGGGGAGTGAAGTTGAGCCCGGGAAGAAGGGAGGGGTGGGGGGAAGGTGTTTTAAGCTTTAGTTTTTATTTCTCATTATACTACTCTGATCTGATTGGTAATAAATTAAACTAATTTCCCCAAATTGAGTCTGTTTTGCCCGTGCCAGTAACTGGCAAGTGATCTCTCCTTGTCCTCATCTCAACCCACGAACCTTTCGTTATATTTTCTCTCCCGTCTCTGGCTGATGAGAGGAGTGACAGAGCAGCTGTGGTGGGCATCCAGCATCCAGCCAGGGTCAACCACCACATCTGGCTAGAGCACTGGTCATACTATCATGGGATTTTGTTAGGTTCTTTTTTTTTCATGTTAGTGGCAAAACTCAATCCACAGTGATGCTGTAGTTTCACGTACATTTTGAGGCAGCAGAAGGCACTGCCAGAGCCCATATGCTGCAGAGAGCTTTCCTGCCCCAGCCCCAATGGGGGAACTACTCTGGCCTGAAATCCATCCAGCAAACCACAAATGTTCTTGCTCAAATCCTTTTGCCTCTACATGCTGCTGTCACACACTCTTACCTACACGAGCATTTGAGAAGCACCAGTGCAAGCTGCACACCCTTGTCTTGGGCGCAGCCGGCACACATTGGCATTCTCAACAGAAGACCCCAGCTGTGTACCGTGAATCTTGGAAAGTATCCGCTTTCTTGCACAAAATTCCTATTTGTGGCCAGAAATTGAAAAGGTCTGGATCATATCTTGTTACATGCTATCTGAGAGAAGCAAAAAAAGAACAACAACAAAAGAACAGCTAATTACAGCTCTCACCAACACAGCAAGCCTACAACACGTCTATGGCTTCTCATAACTCTTAAACCCACTACTGTGCTATAAACCACTACCAGAACAACTGTGCAGCACAGGAAGAGACATTAACAGTCTTAAGTGAATATGCATATTTTTATACCTTTTCTATTAACCTGATCAAACTAAAGTATTGACTCAGTGGTGGTACCGCATTTCCCCTGACAAAGCAGCAGAGTGAACTAAAACTGAGATTCCATTTGAACAGTGATGGCAGCACTTAAAACCATTTTCTCTGGAAATGTTCTTGCCACTAAATATTAATAAAATCTTTACATTAGAGGTCTGTGGGGTTTTGAAAACTAATATGTATGGAGGGAGACAAGCAAAGCAAAAGAAATTGGAAAAGAACCACACCTAAGTGACAGACAAAAGGAGTGATTTATCTGAAGAAGTTGTCAACAAATGTGCCAGTGCATTTTCATGAGTGACACATAAGCAGAAAAGGGAGAAGAGAAAGGATATTGAAAGCAAAGAGGACAAAGAAGAAAAGCAAGGCAGGAGAGAAAAAAAAGCTTCAGAAAGCAAGGCAAGGACTCTTCAGTACAGACCTAGCAGAGGCATCAGACTCACGAGTGCCAGTCATCACCTCTCTGATAGCAAGTGCAGTCCTGCAACTCCCAAACCCTCCCAGTGCTCCAGTATGCCATCAAAGAGGTGCGACGCAAAAAGCAAAAGGCACTCTCTTACTGAAGCACTGCTGACGTTTTAAGGCACAACACCGTAACTGAGTAAGACCTGTGCCAAAAACCTTCATCAGTAGTGCAGCTCATCATGTATTTTCAGCGGATTTGTCAAAAGCACTTGGCTTGGCTTAACGCCCAACAAACTCCCATTCCTCCCATTAAATGGAATCAAACCAGTGCCAGGAGCCTATGCATTTCCATCCTGCAGCCTTGACTTTGTGACAGGGCCTGATTGCTGCCAATAGCGCATTCAAGGTGTTACTCACAGGAACAACAAACCCCCAAAACGAACTCATGCAAGTGTAATGCCGAGGTAATCAAATGCGAAGTCGGAATAAGCTTGGTGTCTACATTTCCTTCCTCTCCCCAAAGCAATGACTTTCTTCAGGATGAAAGGTGAGTAAGATATGCCAGGAAACATGAACCTTTGTCACTCGTTATTTCTTATAATAAAGTATCCAGAGATATTAGGACATTTTTCAGAAGTCTACTACAGATCCTTGTGCCAAGAAAACCAAACATAAGACAAACTCTGACCTCTGTATTTAAAAACAGAAAGCAGTTTGCAGGTTTGCTCACCTAGTTCTTCCCCTTCAAAACTCCCCAATCAGCATCTTTTGATTCAATTAACTTTTGCAACAGCTACAGGCTTAGGTGCTATTTTCACAAGCACTATTTTCTGGGTTTGGCACCTCATCTGAGATATTTTCAATCAACTCAACACCCACAATGCGGGTGTTCCAGTCTTTGGCAAGATCTAGTAATGGATTTCATGGGTCTCCACCTGAGCACCTCAAACCCCAGACAAATAAAACACATGGCCACTTCTAAAGATTTTGCCCACAAAGAACGTTCCGCACAATTTATCCCCCAGCATTGTTCCAGATCCAAGACAAACCACAAGGGTATTTTTCAGCAAGGTTTGTTAACATTTGCCCTGAACACCACTCTTGACAAGAAAATAATATTGTTTATCCCTGAAGCTCAGCCTTTGTCTTTCCTATTGAAGGTTGTATACATGTTTATGAACAGACATTTAACCATTCTTGCTGTCCTCCTTTTCCAGGTCAAAAAATTAGGGTACAGAGAAGTTACATAAATTGCTCAAGGTCTCCGAGCAAGTCAAGAGCTGAACAAGAGCTACAGAGACCTTCCAACTGTCGTATTACAGGCGAGGAAAAAAACCACCATATTTTACTTAAAATCTGCCTTAAGGAAATTTGTTAACCTGGGGCTGAGATCTTCTAGCTAATCTTAGCTTATATAAACGAGTAAATCTGAGCCAGTGGATTTTACTTCTTACTACATGTCACTGTTATCTCGGATTTTACATTCAAGTAACAGTGCCAAGTTCAATAAAACGCACTCTCCTCCTTCAGACCAATGTCTTCACTTAAACTAGTATTTGATTTAAACAAAATGCAACTTCTTTTTTCTTCCAGCGGACAACTTCATTTGGAGACTTTATAGATTTTTCTAAGGATTACTTAATGAAATATAACAGAAACATGTGTTGGTATGTACGTGTACATATAAAAAATTACAAGTGTCTTTGACATTCCTAACGAACTTCAAAATTTTTCATTTTTAAAAACATATTGGGAAAACCTTTAACTTCGTATTTGCTTATTTATTTAATTTAATTTCAGTCTTGCATTTACATATCTAATATATTCCTCAAAACATTAAAAATAATATAACCCAATTATTATTACTTAAAACATTTGCAATGTTTTAAGTAAAACATTGCTCTCTAAAAAGAGCAAAATATTTTGGTTAACTATAAAAGGTTCTTGACATTTTAATAACAAGAAGCTCTTGGAATAAAACCAGAATGTAAAGGGTCAGTTCACTGTAATTTTCAACCCTTAAATTAATTATAAGTAGCGGCTTCCAGTTAATTTTTCTTAGCAAGCTATCAACACCTGCAAAGGAGAAAAAAAAATTAATGAAAGCATTGTCATAGCCTTAAATAAATACCCAACTCAATCACGAGCAAGATGAACAAATAGATGTGAGTGCCTTTGGTTACCCAAAGTAACGTCAAATGACAAGTAATACTGCTTTTATCTCAAGCACGAAGACTGGAGCGTTGCTGTCTAGCTGCCAGCTACTGTTCCCACCAACAGAAGTCACCCACCTGGGGCAGCATGCGATTTTCCTCCTCCAGCTGTCTTACTCTTGCCTCCAGCTGCCTAACATAGGACAAGGTTGATTCTAAAAATCAAAAAGAAAAAAAAACACTCGTATTATCCACAGAGATCTGCTTGTGTTTACTAGTGTCAGAGCCTGTGCCACATTCTGACTTGTACTCACAGCAGATTGTCTCTCCTAAATGTCCGTTAAACATTCAGCTCTGCTCCTCTCAAGGGCAGTGCAAATAACCCCGGTATCAGAATTAATCCAATTCTTCATTCCTTGCAAATCTAAACTGCTGCACTTTAAGGCGGTTCCTTCTCAGACACAAGGTATATTACAGAAAGGCAACACAGACTTGAGTTCTTCCAACCCACCCCCCAAGTTCTGTGAGGTTGCACTGTATTTTGGAAATACTCCACAAGAATAACGTGTTACCCCACCAAGTCACCACTGAAAAGCCCAGAAAGAGAAGAGAGCCTTCTGCAGGAAGACACGGTCAAAGAGGCCCCTTCGGTCCATCCCGTGGATGTCTGGTGGCACACACGTGGCCTCCCCACGCAAGCTGTGACCTTGCCTGCGGGGAATACAGCAGCTTGCTGGCACGGAGGTTCAAGCCTCAGCTTCTGCTAGGGACATGTTGTCACGGCTTGAGCCTGTGCTAGAAACCAGATGTGTGTCCCCAGGGCATCGAGAGGGTTTGGAGCCTGGCTGATAGCACGACAGCCCAGGGCACAGTGCTGCTCACAGCCTGTGCTCACCCCACGCACGCCAGGACACGTTCTCACAGCACTGCTTTGCTATGTGGGCTTGGTTGAAGAGCAAAATCCTGCCCACTCTATTGACAAGTACTGACCTTCATAAGCTAATCTGGTTGGTTATGGAGAATATGAGTCACTCCTAGCCTGCTCTGTTCCCAAGAACTTTATGTAAGAAGAGTAGATCCGTGATCCATCTCTAAAAGCATCCGAAAGATTTATCATCACGTATTTGTTAGGTCACACAGAATTTCTGCTCTTAAAGTCCTGTATCTAAGTGACATAGGTGCCTGAGAAAGTAGCACTTGACTGTAAGAAAAAAGATACCTTGTCAATGCAGAAACACTGCTGTCGCTCTTGCACCTCCTTGTATGTACACGAAGTCCACCACGTGCCCACTCCTGACTCAATGATCCACTCTACATTCTCTAAGATGTCAATTCCAGTAAGACATTTGTACCCATACTACCATGTAGCTAGTCAAATTATATCTCTGATGATTAACGGTACAGAATCCATGGGTATCTGGGCAGTACTGTCAGTTGATATAACCCTGCAAAGCGAACATTGACAACAGAGCTGTTCACTGGTTTAAACTGACAGATGAATTTGTGCACCAGTTTCCGCCGATACCTAATCACCACGCCAGCCTGCCCATAAAATTAAGGTGATGGGAAATGAGGTGTCATTTACTGCTCTTACGAGACTGCAATAGGCTAAAATATGCACACACAGATAGTGCATGGGAATTTACACAACATGAAGACAACACACAGTAATTTGTCAAAAATTATTAATACACAGCAAGGCACTGGATTAAAAATAGCATTGTACAATAAAAGGGAAAGAAGGTTCTGCACGCTCTGCTGCGTAAGGATTTTCATAGCTAGTGATGAGTGCATCTCTGGAGAGTCGCTAAGCCCAGCTCAGATGAGCACTTAGAAGATGAACAGCTTATTCAATTAACGATGTACGACAGGGTCCCTCCCATCAAATCAGCTTCCTTCCCAGCAGCAGCACTTTTGGGAGGAGCCGCAGAAGCTCCCTCACCATTATGGCCATTAACATAGGCAATAGCTCCCAGCACATCTCATCTCTTCTCTCTGTTGTTTTCAACATAAGATGGTTTCTGTGGACCCATCTTTTCAGAGGGAGCGAAGGAGGCCCTTTCTTTGGCGCTAGCCATATTCATTCATTGGTTACGAGTCCACTACTACGTTAGCTTGGGCTTGGACTTCACGCTCCAGTCCAATTTCCCAGCTGTGCCCACCAGCCCATTTCATGCAAGCTCCCTTCCGGATGCTCTTCAACTCTGGGTCTTTTGTAATTTTCTGGTTTACCACTGATTAGCTCCTCATACAACGTATACCTCTTGGCAACATTTGCCTCTCAGTTTTATTTCTTCACTTAAATGTTGGGAGTCCAGAGCTGAGATCTCTGCTGCTTCAAACCACACAACTCTGCTGTCAGTTCACAACTTCCCGATGCCAGTTCATATCAGCTGAGGATTTGGTCTGAAATCTCTGTGCCTGTTAACCCTTCTAAAGTGTGAAACAGTTATTTAAATCTCTTTTTGTAATCTGATTAAAATGGAAAATTAGGTCATCTACCAAAGGCTTGATCTAGCAAATCCTTATTTACGTGAGTCTTCTTGACACATAGACTAGATGCATATATATTTCAGTATCTGTTAATATATTTATGCTGTGATGCTATGAGCTTAGAGGAAAAAACGAGCAGAAAAGCCAGTCAAGGACATCAGAGGCAGAGGAATTGAAAATACACAAAGTGAAACACTGTCACCAAACTTTAAATCAAACAAACAAAAAGTTGCATCTTAAAACTATTTATGAGAAGGCCTGTATGATCCATCTATTCTTAACCTGCCTGGAGATCAGTAAAGAGCTCTAAATAAAGAGCAAATCTTAAAATGCCATCCAGAAAATAGTTACCTGATACCACTCCCATTGTCATTCCAGGAAAATTTTCACAAGACAATTAAGCAATTTAAAACTGAAGCAGAATGAACTGCTCAGTATCTGAGCTGAAAACAAATGTCTCCCAAAGGGAAAGCAGTACAGAGACAAAGCATCACTTCCATAACATTACTGTTATCTTATAATAAAGCATTTAGTAAGATGCTACAATGTGTCAGGCAACCACTGCTCTGAAGCATAACCTGCGCAAACAAGATGATCCCTAGTCATAAAACCTTTTTGTGTTTTATCTTTCCCCAGATTTATCTCATGTTGCTCATTTTCACAGACCTACAAGTACACAGAAAAGCCCTCCCTTATTTGCAGAATCTTACACTTAAGTTGTAGACTGCTTCCAGTCAACTTCCAAACACAAATCTGCCAAGAACACAACCAGGGAAAAACAGAATCTGTATTAACACCATAAAAGATCAACTACTGTGTTCTGGGTAATAGCTCAGAAACTGTTAACTATGTTGAGATCAAATACATACTCAAATAAAAACAGAGAAACAATTAATTTGGGCCCGCATCTAAACAAGATCTGACCACAGAGACATGACACTGCAGTAGTCAAACTGCCAGTTTCGTCACCTGTGGGCTTCTTGTTTTCATTATTTCTGCTCCTTCCCATCTTCCTCCGCTAAGGACTTCTACAGGAGCAACAATTTTGAACAATTCCCATGCTCAGGAATGGATTCCTACCAAATGAGCTTCCCTACTTGAGCTTCCTGTGCACTTAGCATCACTGAAAACGTGATCCCTGCATTGTGCTTCATTCCAGGGTTGAACTACAATTCTTTTCCAAATTATTAGAGACACAGTAGTATCTTGCTTCTAGGGAAATTCAGTGACAATCCACCCTTTCTCCACATCTGTCACTATAACATGTTATTAGAGAACATCAATATTTACGTAGCTGATCTCTTTCTTTTGACATCCACACTCTTGAAGCTCGTAGATATTTTGGGGTTATGTCAAACTTTATCAAACACTGACATTGCTGCCAAAGGCATGGTTGTGCCTTGGTTTTATCCGGTTTTGTGTGACTGAACCTGATCTCAGTCTATCAAGTGTTCTTTAATTTCTTTAATCATAATGTTCTTTAAGCTAGATTATCCTCTGCTATTTCAGAATGGTTGAAGATGTCATGTTAAATTCTAATACTTTTTTTTTTTCCCCTGGGTTTGTTTTTTTGCAGAGACTAGAGAGTTACAACTCACAGGCAACTGTAGGATTGCACTGGAGAACTTCTTAAAGACTGAGGTCCTCTACCCGCCTATTAGCTCCCTGCAAAGCAACTAGATCAGAACCCCACAGAAAGCCAAAACTCCAGGGTTCAGTCTACACTTCTACTTGTTCAAATGAGCTTGAGTAACAAGCCCAGTATGGCAGGTGGAAGGGATTTTATCTAATGACCAGAGGAGTATTTAAGGTAAAGAGTAGGAAATGCAATGCCTCTAGTACTGACATACACTCAGAAAGTAATGCTCAATAAGTGTTTTAACTCAATGACTAAAATTCCATTTTTCTGCATTTTTTAAGAACACTGATCCAAATTGTAATAGTTGTCTGCAAAAACTGAGTACGGGGATTCCACAGACCTCCTTTTGACTGACTTTGAAGGACAAACTCACCAATGCAATAGATGCTACTTGCTTCATGGAAGTTAAAAAACCCCAAACATATAGAATCTTTTAACTTTGGAGAAAACTGGTAATACAGTGGATGAGCAAAGCAGACATCCCAGAGGAAACAGAGCAAAAGCCTCCAAGTTGAAAATACTTAGAAGACTAGAGGTATTAGGAGAAAAGAGTAGTACTGTTTGCCTTGATCCCTAGCCATTAACTTATGGCCAGCATGAAGAGAAGATGCTACACTGGACAGAGGGCTGCTCTGAAGCAGCAGCAGCCAGTCCTTACATCCTCACGGCCAGAAAACAGAAAAAAACACAACTCCATGATAATGCAAGCATCACCTCAATTCTGTTAACATCAACATTTTCTGCTTCCACTGGCTCAGCTCTATTTGGTGTTCATGTTCCTAAAGGAGGTCACCAGAATCTGGAGAGCTGTCACACCCAAATATGTGTATTTTAAACACTTACAGTATAAATGAGGGAAACTGCCAACAATTTACCTCAGCAAAGAATTTAGCACGTTATATGTAGTGATACTTTGATGTATGGCAGTGAAGGTTTGGTTACGGTATATTCAACTTCAACGGGAAAGTCATGTGTTATGCTGCTCTTCCTGCACTGTGTTGGCAGGAATATAACACCTGCCTATCAAATCGGATTTTGGTCACTCAAATCCACACCCAGCATCTCGCAATGAAACCTAAATAA